TCTAGAAAGCACAAAAACTTGACCATAGTCTATTATTTCAGCTGGGGTCACAAAGCCTAGTATAGAATCACAGGATCATTACGGCAGGAGAACACCTCTATTCATCCAGTCCAACCCCAACCCATCCCTACCATGCCCACTGACCATTTCTCTCAGTGCTGCAAAGTAAAAAGGTTGGTGCACGTTAATATGGCATTGAAAAGTTAATCACAGGTTTTAACCAGTTCCCTTAAGTGTGAAGACCCAATACATTGGGAATTTTACTCAGATCCTTCAGCAACGTTGCAACTGTGGGACCGTGTAATGACTTACACCAGAGAATTCTCTGCAATGGTTGCCAAACACATCTTCAGGATTTCAATTAGAAGTCCTGTGACTTTCAGCTGAAAGGAGTAGCCAAAACATTCTGTGCTGTCAGAGGAGGGGAAATGCTTCAATGCATCCAGTTGGAAATGATTTCCCTTTAGTTGAAAAGTCGCCCTGATGAAGCCTTCATTAGGAAGGGCTGAAGCAGCCAGGAGCAGGTCCTGCTCAAGGAGCTCAGCATGAGCATGTGGGGGCTGGACAATACCATGCTCAGAGGCTGTGGATGAAGGCTGAGAAACTGGATGGTAAATTGCAGAACCTTGGTGTAATCCCCTTTTTGCTTTTCAATAACCTTTGGAAGCAGTGGGAATTGTGGCAATGCAGAGGGTATGTCTGAATCTCAACAGGACATAAAAACTGAGGCAAAATATCACACTAATATGGCTACACAGAATTACTGGAACATGCTGCTGTCTATTAAGTGCAGAGCAGAAGGTGAACAAGCTTGGATGTGTCTGCCAATTCAGAAATGCCTGTAATTAGATCTTATCAGTTACTTAACATCCTACTTCTGTCTATATTTTGTTTACATTAAGAAACCAATTACCTCATTACTAGCCAGTACATGTCAAGCAAATACAACATAATATGGTCCTGTATTTAAAAAGTGTAATAACTACAAATAACTACAATTAATTCTTGCCAGGTTTCAGAAAAGGTAAATAAAAGTCTTTCTATGACACACAACACTTCATTTCAGTGAAACAAGTTATCATATGAAGCATTAATATTCAGAAGCTCTGACCAGAAGTGTTTCTGAGCATAATGCAGCAATGCATTTAAATGTGAGTTTAAAACATACAAAGAATTTCAATGGCACTGATGGAACTATCCATTTATTGAAAGCATATGCTCTGCAGCTTCTATCCAAAACTCCATCTCAGACCCTAGATTAGTCCTTTTCCACATGTTATCAAGCCCTTAATATATGCTTATTTTCTCTTTTCATTTGTTTTCTGGTCAAAAACAGTCACTAAGGGTAAAAAATAATTAAACTGGAAATATCTATGGCCATTAAAATTACACTACAGGAAAAACTTCCAGAACTTTTTTATTGCATCTCTTCCATTTTAGCACAATACAACCCAAACAGCCAATACTCAGCACTGCATCTGCTTCAGCAGCTGAAGTTTGAATACAATCCCCTCTTCACTTCAAGGGATAAAGTGATTTTGATACAGAATTCTGCAGTGTTTCCAGTGAGACCTTGTGCAATGTCTGCATACCTCCTGAGCTCTTAGTGCTTCATTACTGACTGGAAACTGGACTAAGAGGTCACTGGATGGTTAGCCTTCAAATATTTCCATTAAAGGCTCACCCTCACCCTTGAAATCTACCATTTCATCCTTGTTTCTACCGTTGTAGAACCATTGTAAGAACAAGGACACGTTTCTTTATTCTAACCAACAATAAGTGTGTCCTAGGCAGCTGAGTGATGCCAAACAACCTGAGAAGCTCAAGATCATTTAAATAGTCTGCTGAAATCTGTGAGGTGCTGTTATAAAAGAGAAAGCAGCAGGAACAACACACTATGTGTGTTCACCCTTGATCAAAACATGAAGTTGTATCACAAAAAAAGTAGCACAGCATTAGTAGGAGCATCTCTAAGGAGCTTTTGCAGAAGATGGAGCTATGGAAAGCAGTATGACTGCATTTTACTAGCAGGCAAAAAGATTAGCATGTACAACACAGTACTGCATTTTACATTTAATTTTTACTGGTGAATCTGCATGAATCTGGTGAATCTGGTGAATTACCACCAGTATTGGTAATATTCACTGCAAGTAGTGAGGTTAACCATAGGTTATTTACCAGGCTGCCCATAGAGGCTGTGATGCCCCGTCCATCGCTGGAGGTGTTCAAGGCCAGGTTGGATGGGGCCATGGGCAGCCTGGGCTGCTATGAAACGTGGAGGTTGGTGGCCCTGCACGTGGCAGGGGGGGTTTGGAGCTTCACAATTCTTCAGGTCCCTTCCAAACCAAGACTTTTTATGATTCTATGATTCTTTCCTAGGTATTTTTAAAGAAAAGGGATCATTCCCAGTGAGATCTGCTTGAGTCTTGTCCCTGTGCAACCACAATTAAAGGATTAAAGAATGTTTCTGCAGAAGAGATTTCAGAGGCACTCTCTTGCTAAGGTGGAGTCAGAACCACTACTCCTAAAAATATTATATCTGTATTATATCGGTATTTTCCCCCAGCCTACAGAGTCCTAAAATACAAAGAACTTGCTGTTAAGAGGAATATACAACATAGGATTAACAACAATCTCAGGACAAGATTTACTTACATAATATTTTTCTTTGAGCACTTCCTTTCATTCCCATTCACATGGGGACAGAAAACACAGTCCCTTTGGAGGCAGCAAAAATGAATTGCAGCATCCTTTTTCTATACCACTTATCAGAACGTGACGCCAATGCCAACAAATGACAACAATTATCATCAGAGTCATGTTTGTATACCGTTATATTTCAGGTCTAATAGTAAACCTAAGAACACGTAGGTTTTCCATTTATTCACAGCACAGATGGCAGCAGCATGAGTTTTCACCACCTATCCCAGCATTTGCAATCACACGTTTGTGGAAAATCTAGAGCAATTTAAAAATGATGGAAGCTATCAGGCTTGATAGCAGTAATGAAGGCTCCTTCAAGAAGGATTAAAATTAGGATACTTAATAAGATTTGGAGCTTTGCCAAGGAAATTCCATAGGTAGAATGCTACTTCCTATGAAACGTTGCAAATGATGTACAATCATACAGACAATAACAGCACTCATGCCCACACCCCCATCAACACTGAAAAACTGATCTAAGCATCAAAAAGAAAATAAAGGAAAAGCTTTATAATGTAACTACTGACGACTACATCAATATCAGATCGTACCAGAACTCTCTGACTCCACCTTTGTAGGAGTATTTCTACATCTCTCTTAACCTTAGAACTCAAAACATAACAGAAAAGCATTTTCTACTAGTTCCAAGCAATCTCCCATTCCACCACTCCAAGAATGTTTAGATGCCACTCAAGTCCCCATACAAGGGAACACTGGCAGGAAGATGCTACTGAGTCAGAGGAAAACTAAAGAGTACTTGTAGTTGTTATGATAACTGAATGGTGAAACCCACAAACCATTTCTCTTGTCAAACCATGGTACCACAACAACATTAGTATCACAGACAGGTTAACATTTATTATGATATTTTGAAATAATCGAATGAAAACATAATTTCAGGGTGACAAAGTAGTGCCTATGGCTAACTTAGACCTTTGAATACCCACAGGATTGCTAAAAATTTCAAATACAAACATACCTCAGTTGTTTGAAAACAGATTAAGATCATCAATTCATTCCAGATAGACTAATACATTGTTATTATATAAGAACTGTCGAGCAGGGCTCAAGTTTCTAAATATCCATGCTATGTCTTTTCTAAGTTCTTTTTATTTGGTAGTTCATTTCAGTGTTGAAGCTTTTTGCTGATGCTAATAAATTTTGCCTAATTACTCAATAGAACGTGAAATTCATTTCATTATCTGTCTTGGAATCACTGCACACAGGTGTAAAATTCCCTGCTAACTCATGGTTACATATAGGCTGCATTTTTGTCTTTTTGCTACATCACACTGGACATTTATACAGCACTGCTTCCCTCCTTTCGTGGGTACATCCTCCAGTTTTACAAATATCCTCCAGATGTCATTACACATGTTGTCTGACAATATTTATATGTATTCTATTAGGATGGGCTCAGGTCAAAACCAGTGAGGACTGCTTTATATACCCGACCTGTACTAACTGTAATTCATGGCTCCATCAGGCTAGATGATGTAGGAAGTGTATAAAGGAATATCAAGATTTACTTCAACATCACAGATGGATAAATATTTACTGGAGTGCAATAAATTTCCTAAGGTGACTTTGTACCATCCTGTAGGAGCTAGTAAAGAATTATATCCTTTCTAAACAACCCAATCTTACGGTTCAAAACACATTTAGGAAATTTTTTCATTCTCTACAGCAGTAACCTTTAAGAATAAATGCCATAGGAATCCACCTTTTTCTTCCCAAGTGAATTCCACAAATTCATTCTTAGAGACTAGGATTAGCACATTCTGACTGTTCCTAGATTAAGTTGAAATCTGTATCTTGCTTAACAAAAAAACTAGCTCTGTTGTCTCTCAATAAGAAGTCTACAGGATGACTCACAAAGTACAAAACAGGTTTGGTTTGGGGTCACGCAAACGGAAAAAGATCTGCAAGTACGACAGATAAAGCTTTCTACCCAACTGAGATCTATGCACAACCAAAGTTCTGGAAAGTCAAAGATCATCTTCAGAGTTTTGTTCAAACTAATGAAAAATCCGACAGGACCTGACTTACATAAAAACCTACTATTTGTGAATTTGTATGAAACAAAACAGGACATTAAATATTCTGTTTGTATAACCCAGCAAAATGCTTTTAGTATGCTCCTTCTAGGGCACGGACATCTCCCAGAACCATCAGTGGCTCGAGCTGATTGTAGTGATAAGAAAATGGCTACGGCAGCCCAGATTCTGAATTTGCCCCAAAATAAGATATTTAACGCAATACATCTGAAAGCTTTAATTCCAAAGCTGATGCCTTACCAAATACAGCCATCTGCGTTCCCTCTGGGAAAGGTTCTACCATTCTGTTTCCATTGACATGATGTTTATCTAGAAGGGAGAAGAAAAAAAAAAAGTAAAAATGTAACAGAACATACACTTTCCATGACAACACAACTGTTTTTACTCGGAGTTCTATTGACACCTGACATCTGATTTATCAGAGCTCTCCTGCACGACTCTCCAGTAACTGGGACTTTGTAGCCTCTGAGGCTATTTCTCGAAAGCACAGCTCTCTACGGGCCCCAGGACATAAAGTGGAGCTGAATTCCAATGTTAAGTCAGCTAAAACCACAGTAAAACATGCATGCAGAGCGCCACGCATCAACACTGACTGTTACAGGTACAGCACTGATCAGGCAAGCAGACAAAGCAGGGATAAGCTAATTCTCTGTTGCTGCTAGGACATGGTGCTCCTCCACAACAAGTTTTTCAGTGCGATCATGCATGAATCCCAGATGCCTACCTTGAGCTGCAGCGTAACTTACATTGGGGAAGGGCATAAAGCAGAAATACTATGCAAATAATTTGCATAAAAACTAAATAAGGACTGATATTCAGTCTTAAGGAACACAGTGCATGCAGAAAAGTGTATATGGACAGCATTGATGGTGCACACAGGGGAGTTTCTATGCAAGACAATGGTTGAAGCTCGCTTTGCTCCCTTTGAGACAAGATGGCTAAGAACTGCTGTGTTTCCAAACTTCTAAATGAAATATTCCTTACATCCCAACATACTTCTCTTTCACTCGTCTCCTTAGCATAAGGAAAATTCAAGTCCTTGTGATATCATAGGTTTATAATTATTACTCAGTGAAGACTGTATGTAGAACCAGGAACAGAGCACTTAAAGCCCCAGTTAAAATACAAAGACCCACACCAGAATATTCTCAGTCTTTTTCACTGCCATTTTCACATTCATTTCCTAATCACACTCTTCTAAGAGTCATTGCCAAGACTGTGGAAAGGATTAAAATCATCTGAACTGACAATACAGGTTTCTGTCCACAAAACACATTCCAGGGAGAAAGCCAAGAGATTTTCTCAGTATTATATTTCTCCCTTTGGTACAGAATCTGGTGTGGAATAAAACAGGTCAAAAAGAGAGCACAGGACTGCCTTGCAAACTCCCTGAAAGCAATATTTTTGATTAGCAGAGAGGCATAACACAGTTCTAATCCCAGCTGGCATCAAACATTTATCAACAGGCAGTGATGGGGGGAAGCAGGGTTATCTGCAGTTGGTGCAAGAGGTCCCATGAAGACAATTGCTTACATTTAAGGAGATTGAATGCCCTGTGCCATGCAAGTCAAGAGAAGGGCTGAAAGGAAATTGTTAGGAGGTTCCAGAGGGGTAGTAATATGGCCAGTGCAACACGAGGTTTCCACCTTGTTAGCCATAGCTTGCATTACAAACATGATCTATAGCCATCTGAGATGGGCAAACAGTCGGGAAAATTATGAAACATCATGCAAGATCAAATAAACTAACCTTGCCCTGGTCCTGATAGCTGCCTTCATTTAAAGAGTGAATGACATACATGATGTATGATGTAGTTCTCAATTCAAATGGTAAGCTTTCAATATATTAAAATTAGTATTAAACTTTTAGAGGTGAATAGGGCTTGAAAGAAAATGTTTTCAGACTTCTCAAGTCATTCTCCAATGTTGTTTCGAAGATCACAGCTAGATAAAATAATTAATTTCCTTAACATTTATATTTTATTTTACATTTTTTAGCGTTCCCTGCCCTCTGCCTACGTGCATTAAATAGCAGAAAAATAAACAAAAATAAACAAAATTTACAAGAGTTTCCACAAAGCACAAATTCTACCTTAGGAAGAAACAAAATACATATTGGTATAAAGATTTTCTCAACAAAGACACTATTCAAACAATATTGCAGTTTGGATTTTTTACTGTTTAATTCTCCTTTACAAGTTGGATGGAGGTGCCCCAGAAAATCAGCCAAACCTTGGCCCCATGGAATTAGAAAAAAAATCTGACAGGTTTCCCATAATTTGCCAACAGAAACAATATATTGCATTTTCAAGTCATTGTCATTCCAGAGACGCAGGCTTACAGCATATAAATTAGAAACTACAGAGGCTAGCAGTGAACATACGGCTGGCTATGAAAGTCAACTTCAGCTTCCTACTGGTGAAAAGTAGGTCTTACCTTAATACAGTTGGTATTTTAAGTGGTAATGCCTCAATGGACTACAGAGCCTTCAGGCACTTGGAAAAGAAGAGCTGGGAGGACATGGATGTCTTATAACATCATCATGATCCTCTTGACCCTTCTGATTTCAACAGAAAGCCGATTGGTAAAGGAAAACTTTTTCTTAAAACTGATATTCAGGCTGATGGCATTTTTGTCTACATAATTTCTCAGTGAAGCAATGTGGAACTTCCCCTCAAAATTACCAAATGCTGCTCTAGTCTCAACAGCAGGAATTCTCTGCCATTTTTCAAACTAAGTCTGAGAGATACCTGCAACATACAGTGCTCCCTGCTGAACAGAAATAGCATGCACTGAAAGCAACACATATCCTGGAGGTCTTGACATTCAACTTTAGCTTAAGGCAAAATCTGCTGTAGAGATACACAGTGCTGGGCCCTTTCTCCTGAGATGCTCTGGACTTGTATGGAAATAATCTTTAGACTCCTTCTTTTCTGTCTGTGAAACAGCATAATATATGGAAAAATAATCAAAAGTAGCTCAGTAGAATAATCAAAAGTTGCTCAGGTCTGCAGTACTTCTTTAGCATCATTCAGTCTTTGAAGTCTAACACGGAACACTTTCTAACATAGTCCTACAACTGTACTTTGCTAAAGACTGACTGAACTCAAGTAAAGTTAAATGCATGGATTAGAAAGACAGAATGGCTCAGGTTGGAAGGGACTTCAAGGATCATCAAGTTCTAACCGCCCTGCTGCAAGCAGAACTGCCAATCACTAGATCAAGTACTGGATAAAGCTGCCCAGGGCCCCATCCAACCCTTGGACACCTCCAGGGACGGGGCATCCACAACCTCTTTGGGCAGCCTGTTCCCACCCCTCATCACTCTTCCAGTGAAAAACTTTCCTAACATCTAACCCAAATCCCTTCCTCTACCTTAAAACCATTCTCCCTTGCCCAATGACTACTTAACCCGTGTAAAACATTGACTTTCCTCCTGTTTATAATCTCCATTTAAATATTAGAAGGCCATAATAAAGTCTCTCCACAGTCTTCTCTTCTCCAGACTGAAGAAACCCAGTTCTTTCAGCCTGTCTTCATAGGACAGGTGCTCCAGCCCTCTGATTACCTTTGTGGCCCTTCTTTGCAGCCTCTCTAAAAGCCCAACACCTTTCCTGTAACGAGGGCCCCAATCTGGGTGCAATACTCCAGATGAGGCCTCACAAGGGCAGAGTACAGAGGGTCAATCACCTCCTCCACCATCACTATTCTGATGCAGCCCAGGATATCGGTGGCCATCTTCAAGGGCACACTGCTGGCTCATGAAAAGTTTTTCACCTACCTGGACTCCTAAGTCTTTCTCAGCAGGGCTACTCCCAGTTCTTCTCCTGCATCTGGGATTAAGTTGTCCTAAGTGCAAAACGTTGCACTTCGCTTTGTTGAACCTCATTAGGTTTACAAGTGCCCACCTTCTGAGTTTATCAAGGTCTCTCTGTATGGCATCCCTTCTTTCTGCCATATCAGCTGCACCACTCAACTTGATGTTACCAGCAAAGTTGCTGAAGGTGCATTCAATCCCATCATCTATGTTAAATAACGATGTTAAATAAAGATGTTAAAGAGTACCAGTCACAAGACAGAACTTTGGGGGACACCGCTCATCATCAGCCTCCACCTGGACATAGAGTGACTGACCACAAACCTCTGGCTGCAACTTTCCAACCAGTTCCTTATCCACCAAATAGCTCACCCTCCAATTTAGGGGTAAGGATGGGGTAGAGGACCATGTCAAAGACCTTGCAGAAGTCCAGGTAAATGACATCAGTTGCCTTTCCTTTGTCAAACCATGCTGTCACTCCATTCTAGAAGGCCACCAGATTGGTCAGGCACAGTCATCCCTTGGTGCTGTGCTGGCTGCCTCAGATCACCTTCTCATCTCTTACGTGCCTTAACATGTCTTCTAGGAGGATCTGTGTCATGATCTTCCCAGGTCATCTGAGGTTCATCAATCTGTAGTTCCCCAGGTCTTTCTTCCTCCCCTTCTAATAAATGAGAGCGACGTTTCCCTTTCTGCAGTCACTGGGAACTCCACCTGAGAGCCACAACTTTTCAAGGGTGGTTCAGCATCCACATCAGCCAGCTCCCTGGGATGCATGCAGTCCAGCCCAATAGATTTGTACAGATTCAGCCTCATGAGGCAGTCTTGGACTTGTTCTGTCCTTACAGTGAGGGGTACTTTGCTCCCCTGGTTCCCACCCCGAGGTTCAGAAGTGTGAGGTTCAGGGACACGGAAAATAAGAGAATCCTGGCAGCCAATGAAGTCTGAAGCAAAGAACGCATCGAGTACCTCAGCCTTATCTGTTGTAGACGGTTCTCCTTTCTCATGTGTCAGGGGAGGTACACTCCCTTTAGCCTGTCTGTTCTGACCAATGTACCTACAGAATCTCTTCTTGTTGCTTTTAATATCCCTCCCCAAGTTCAGTTCCATCTGTGACCTGGCTTTCCTAATCCTATCTGCGTATGTCTGGACAGTACCCTGTATTCTTCCTAGGTTGCACGTCCTTGTTTTCATTGCCAGTACTTGCCCTTCTTTTCCCTCAGTTCGACCAGCAGGTACTTGCCAAGCCATGCCAGTTTCCTGCCCCCTCTGCCTGCAAAAGGCAATATCTATACTAGTAAGCCATTTAAATAAACAAGTCCTATCTAGAAACTATTTGAGAGTGTGTTAATTAGCCTAACCAAAATCACATTATACCCTGTCTTAGCAATCTACCCGTATGGACAACCAAGTTCCTGTGCCTAGACCTGTTCTTGGGAACATTTTCATTTATTAGCATACACTTCAATTATCTTCACAGTTCCATGTACGTC